CAGCTTCTAAAAGTAACAACCCACGTGTGTCCAGTAAGTATTAAATACTAAGGACCTACAGTCAGTCTCCCAGGAGTGAGGGGGCCTTGGAGGGGACTCTGCCTTCTAAGACGAGAGGAGACCAAACCTCTCCACAGGGAGAGCAGCAGGCACGCCAGGATGAGGTCTCACCAGAAACCAACCCTGACGGCATCATCACCTGGGGCTTCCAGGCCCCCAAACTGTGAGGAAATTTATTTCTGTTGTGTTACTGAAACCCCCCAGTCTGTGGGCTAGTTATGGCAGCCTAAACTGATGAATAAGGGACCAACTGTCCCCATGTTTCAGGGTTTGAGGGAGTTCTAGGTTCCATCCTGAGCACTCCAGGACCAGTGAGTCACCCTAATTAATGAACTAATGTATGGGAAGTGTGTGGGCTTCCTACAGTGCATGGCTTACAGTAAGTGCTAGCAATTGTTATCTTATTCCTCCACCAACTATTCAGCTCTGTGCTGAATGTGGATTAATGTATTGGGGGGCGGGGGGAGGTGTACTTAATGGATAAAGCTTGCCCTCGTGGAGTTTACATATGTTTATTGAGTGCTCAGATCAAATCATCGGGATTTAGCTGTGGCCAGTTAAAAGCAGGGGCCGTGTCAAAATGGGAGGACCAAGGCCAGGCAGGGTTGGGCTCTGGAGAGGTGCCCTGCAGAAGCCACCAAATGAGGCAGTCACCCCAGTTGTTTCTTGTTTCTAAAAAATGGAAGCGCAAGACGCTGGCAGTGCCGAGGCCTGGCCGAATGACCACAGGAGTTCTGTCAAAGGGCTCCACGAAAGCCCAGCTGCCCCTCACTTTCCTTGTGACTAAGGAAGCTCATCTCAAACTGCTTGGAAATCCCCCGTCTTGGCCACAGGGCAGCCAAAAGTCCCTGCTTTGGAAGATGTGGTACCAACCAAGGCTTTTGTAACCGTCAAAACTATCTCCTGGGGAATTTGTCATGAATGCCCATCAGAAGGCCTCGTAGGTGTTGATTATTTTTCCATCTAGCTGTTTCTGTCTTGGCACTGGCATTGGAGGACTGCTATGCTCTCTGGGGCTCAGATGCAAATTCCAGCAGGAGTCACTGTGTTTTTAGTAATTTGTCACAAGGCAGGGAAGCAACTGGCTTTATGTGAGTTGGGAAACAGTTATCAAGCACTTCCTATACATGAGAGCTTGCATTGTTTTACAACTATTCTCAAACTATGTTCAAAAATACTTATTAAGCTTTGATGTTTCCCAGCATTGATGTAGGCCAGATAAACTGCTAACTATCTGATATATAATGTGTAGGGTTGATAAGCAAAAATAAACAGGGTAAGGGGGTAGTGTTCGGTGAAGCCTGGTATTTTAGATGGGTGGCCATGGAGGGCTTCTCTGAGGAGGTGGCATTTGAGCAGAGACCTGAATGGAGTAAAGGAGCAAGACAGGCAAATGCCTAGGAAGAACATTCCGGAAAGGGGTCCTGACAAGGGCAAGTGCCTTGACATGGGGATTTGGTTGGTGTGTTTGAGAACAGCAAAGAGGCTCCCGTGTCTGGAGTGTTGGGATCGAGGGACGAGGGAGAGGTGGCTCAGTCTGATCAGCAAGGCCTGAGGGCGTGATAGGGACCTTGGGTATGGTCCTGTGCTGGCTGGGAAGCTGTCGCAGAGCCACTCTCAGTGCCAGCTGCTCGCTAGACTCTCCCGAGGAGCCCTGGTCCTAAGGCCTCGCCTAGACAGCTGCGGTCAGAACTCTAGGGTTGCAGCGGGTGTGCTGGTGTTCTGGGCATGCTCCCAGGTTTCCTGGTGAGCAACCTGGCTCACCACTGTGTGTGAAACCACAATAAAATCTGGGAGAACATGATGGGACCCCATGATTAATGGTACTATGTGCTTCTGTGGAAAGACAACTGTAGATGTAGTAAGCGTGTGGAAACGTGGCATGGATCATTGCAGACAGCTCTTTAAAACTATGAACTTTGAGCCCTAGTAGCCCTTTTGGCTCAGTGGATAGAGTATCAGCTGGCACACTAAAGAGTCCCGGGTTTGCAATCCGGTCAAGGGCACGTGCCCAGGTTTTACGCTCGATCCTCAGTAGGGGTGTACAGTAGGCAGCATGTTAATGATTTTCATCATTGATGTGTCTATCTTTCCCTCTCCCTTCCTCTCTGAAATCAATAAAAACATATGAAAAGTACTTCAAAAACAACAACTATGAACTTGGAACACCTGCCTCCCATCAACCCAAATCTAAATGAGGGTTAAAAAAGAATGTGGCGTGCATTGGCTATGTGCTCTAACAGTGCAGATATAAGTCCAACCATAAAAAACTGGAAAATGGGGATGGCATATATAGCAATGTTTTTAGTAATTACAATCATTGATGGAAGTATCCGTGTTACTATTCTGAGATGTTCTAATTGTATCATAGTGTGTACCCATGAGAAACAGCATTCCTGATGTGGAAGAAAGGAGATACAATATATATGAGGTTAATTAAAATCTATTTGTCCAGAATTGGAACTGGAAAAAACAGAATGAACTTCTGAGGTCTTTGATAACGTGCATATATAATGTGTATACATGCATATATGTGTATAGAGTAGTGCCCCTCCTCCATTCAGAGACCTAGAAACAATAGCACTCGGATTGTTGTCTTGAAATACCATTCTCATGAAAAGAAATCAGGGTTTCTTAGAAGTACAGCTGTTCCTAGCTTTGGGAAAGGAAATGGACAATATAAGAACAGATCATCTTGATATACCAGATAGGAAGAAATCGAAGTTTTTGTTGTTGTTTTTTAAAATATATTTTTATTGATTTTTTACAGAAAGGAAGAGAGAGGGAGAGAGAGAAACATGGATGAGAGAGAATTATCGATCAGTTGCCTCTTGCACACCTCCTACTGGGGATGTGCCCGCAACCAAGGTACATGCCCTTTACTGGAATCGAACCCGGGACCTTTCAGTCCGCAGGCCGATGCTCTGTCCACTGAGCCAAACCGGTTCCGGCAGCTATTGAAGTTTATTAGGGTCATATCAAAAGGCTTTGGGAGAAGCATGGAACAGACTGAGATACCTCAATGTGGGGTTGGGGAAATGAGAAGAGATAAACCAAAGAACTTATATACTTACTAGAGGTCCGGTGAATGAAATTTGTGCAGGGTGGGGTCCCCTCAGCCCAGCCTGCACCCTCTCCAATCCAGGACCTGTCAATGGATGTCCAACTCACAATCCTGAACTGCTGGCTCCTAATTGCTCACCTGCCTGGCTTCCTGGCTGCTCCTCACTGCCTCTGCTTGCCAACCAACTCACCCCTAACTGCCTCCCCTGCTGGCCTGGTTGCCCCTAACTGTACCCTTCTTCTAGCCTCTTTGTTCCCAACTACCCCCCCCCCCACTGGCCTAGTCACCTTCACTTTCCCCCTGCCAGCCTAATTGCCCCCCACCTACCTTCCTGTCAGCCTGTTGTTCCTCAACTCGCCCCTCCTGCCAGCCTGGTCACTCCTAACTGCTCCCCCACCAGCCTGGTTGCCCCCAACTGCACTCCCCTAACCCCGCTGACCTGGTTGTTTCTAACTGCCCACCCTGATGTCCTGGTCACCCCCAACTGTCCCCACACACCAGCCTGGTCACTCCATGCAGCCTGCTTATTCAGTCGTTTGGTCATTCCTCACTAACCCCCCTGCTGGCCTGGTTGTAGGCAGCATCTTTGTGATAGTGTGATGGTTGATTTGCATATCACCTCTTTATCATATAGGATATGCATAGCCCATGGACATGGGCAATTGGGTAGTGAAGACTGGGGGTAGGCATGGATAGGGACTGGGAGGAGGGTAAAGGGGGTGTAAATGGGAGACATCTGCAATAATATCAACAATAAAAATATATACATAAAAAAAAGCTTTGGGAATCAACCTGGAAGATTCCATTGGCCATAAAAAAAGACACTTCAGGCTTTAGTAAAGTGCAATGGATTGAAACCCATTAAAAATGTATAAACTTTAAATTCAAGATATTTAGAAAGCTTATTGGATCACATTTTGAGGAAAGGAATAATGTGTATACATGCATATATGTGTATAGAGTAGTGCCCCTCCAATTTTTAAAATTAGGTAAATAAGATAAAATGGACTTTCCTGCCTTTTCTAGATGAGCTATACCAGTGGATATAGCAGATAAGGGGAGGAAGTGATTCCTTATAATTATTCCAGCTAATAAATGAAATAAAATAAAATTAGAATTTCACCCATTTGCAATTCCTCAATGAATCAATGGATCTATGCTTTGAAGATCAACTACTGCATCATCAAAAAGGAGCAAACCCAGCCACCCTGTGCCTTCTCACCAAAGATGGCCAGCGTCTGCTCAAGCTGATGATCCAGCTGCTGATTGTAAGAGACACCGGGGCCAAAACCATGAGGGTGCAATCAGTAAAACCCAGACTGAAAAATTCCAAACCAGTAGCCTGGGTCTTCAGCAGAAAGTGGAAGGGAAAGAGATGAGGGGAAAACCTGTAGATTAGACACTGGAAGAAATGACCTTTAAAAAAAAAAGTGGGCAAGAATAGTGTCTAGAGCTGCTTACTTTCAACCAAATCTATAGGACACAGGGACGCCTAGCTGGCATGGCTCAGAGGTTGAGTTGACCTTTGTATGAACGAGGAAGTCACAATTCCATTCCCAGTCAAGGCACGTGCCTGAGTTGAGGGCTCGGTCCCCAGCGTGGGGTGTGGAGGCAGCGGATCCATGATTCTTTCTCATCATTGAGGTTTCTCTCTCTCTCTTCAGTAACCTCTCTGAAATCAATAAAAATATGTTTTGAAAAAGAAAAAAAGGACACAGGGAGAGAGGTTACTTTTGTGGGGAGCCAGTGCTGTGACTGGGGTAGAGCATGAATGGGCTAGAGGCGGCTGCTATGAAGGTTTTGTGTCAATTTGGCATTGTCTGAGCCAATATTTGGTCAAACATTCTGGATGTTGTTGCGAAGGTGTTTTTTGGATATTCACATGTAAATTAGTATATTTTGAACAAAGCAGATTACCCTCCATAACGTGGGTGGGCCCCATGCAATCAGTTGAAGGTCGTCAGACAATCAAAACTGACGTCCCCTGATCAAGAAGGAAGTCTACCAGCAAACTCCCCCGTGTATCCAGCCTGCAACTTTGGATTCACCAACTCTCCATCGTGTGAGCCAGTTCCTTAAGCTCAATCTCTGTATGTGCTTACACATCCTGTCGGTTGTTTCTCTGGAGAATCTTGACCAATACCGCTGGTCAAGTTCTATTTCTTGGCCCGAGTGATAGTGACAAGGGTGTCTGCCTTATAATCCACTATGTTTGACATGGTTTTTAAAGTCTTACTTTATAATGAAAAGGAAACAAATACAATAGAAGTATAATTTGTAGTTAAGTATGTAAATATGGAGAAAGGGGCCTCTAAGGATGAATATCGAACTGTATTTGAGGTTTGGGGGGGTGGGGTGTAGGGATGACTAAGCTCTGCTCTGAACGTTTCTGGGCTGCGCACTTCATGTGCCAGAGTGCATGTGTGTACATTTTGGGTATAATTAGAAAAAATGCTGGTCCCCGTTGTGACGCACATGGGAAGGTCCCCCCATTATTAAAAATCTAAACCCTTTGAGGAAATGGCTTCCTACAGGGATGGGACCCACCAACCACAGGAGGAAGAAGTGGCAAGGCGTTGAGATGATGAAATCATCGTTTATTTGAGAAATGAAACAGTTGCTTTCCCCTTCAGTACCGTGAACATTTGCATTTTTGAATGTTCAATAAGCAAATATACTGTATTTCCTACAGAGAGGACGAATGGAGAAGCAGGAGCAGGAGGGTAGTTAACCGTTCCAGGAAACACCAGAGCTTTTGCCACCAGAACCTTGAGGCCTTGTAAGAGGCTCCCTGTAAAAATCCACTCCTTCAGGATCTGCATGTCTTCGAACATCAGCCAGCACTGGGGTTGCTGAGTGTGAGTGAGAAACACATGCAGTGACCTTGTATTTGTTACTTAAAACCCTAGCGTGCCCCAAATCCAGACAATGCGTTCTTTATCCCGAAGTCACTTGATTAGCCTTATGAGAACCTTACTGAGAAAGGATGTTTGTGCTGATAAAAAGCAACAGCTCCTTAGAAATAAAGTAACCCCTCCCTCCCCCCCGAGTTGGTCAAGGCATAACCATCTGCCAGTCTCCCACCTTCCATTCCTCATTGCAAACTTCAAAGCCTCACTGCCAAACCGGATTCTACAGCATGAACACAAGTGGAACTGAGTGACAAGGTCAGCAGGTGCCGCCTTTCCTCTTGGCAGCCTCTGGCTAGCTGAGCCATCCAGCTATACGGCTTAAACAACAGCTTTATTGAAGTATATTAACCACATCATTTCTACTTAGCGTGCACAGTTCAATGGTGTTTCGTATATGGAGCTGAACAATCACCACAAAAACTTTCATTTTCATCGCCTCAGAAGGAATCTCAGACCCACTGGCCATCGCTATTTCCCCATTTCCCCTCTTCCTGGGCCTCGGCACCACTCACTTCCTGTTTCTATAGGTATCAAGGGGATCTCGAAATATGGGCTTCTCTCACGTGGCCTAATGTGTAGTGTGTTACCAGCTCCATTCCCTCTCCCTGCTGCTTAAAACCCCACTGCATGGCTGTAGTTAGTGTCCTCTTACATGTCTGATCCATGGTGAGCACTCCCTGCGTAGGCACCGGGCCAAGGGACAGGGAAGTCAGGCAGCCTTCGCCCTGGAGGAACTGCAATAACCCTTCTCCCCCACCACTGGTGTAGGGCCGACCCTGACAGCTGCTGACAGCTGCAGAAAGGGCACAGTCAGGAGAGACAGGACTCTGGTGGGTGGGGAGAGGAGGAGGATGAAGAAGGTTTGGGGGAGCGGCACTTCCAGATACACATTGAGGCTGTCAAGTGCAGGGCAAGGCACTGAGGCAAGAGGAAGGAAGGGCGGTGGCGGAGGCACAGGAGGCCGCCCGGTGCAGGCGGGCAGAGGAGCGCCCGCAGGGCGGCCGTGAGGGGAGCCCAGGGCCCCAAATTAATACTCGGCTTCAGTCACAACCTTTATTTTTATCCTTATTGAGGAGTAAAACATAAAAAGCAATCAAAACGTTATTATTTTCTAAAAGTAGTTTTCTGGGTGGGTTTCGGTTGCCCTTCCCAATGATCGGGCTGACGCCTCAAGCTCCAGCTCCCAGCTCCTCCGCAGAGATCCGCTCACCGGCCCCCGAAGCCCAGGCGAACCCCCTGCCTCTTAACAAACAGGCCACAAGCCTCCAGGGAAGCAAACAGCCTTTTCCGGCTAAACCCGAGGTTTTAGAGTGTCCACGGCTGCAGGGGAGGGGGAGGCGGGGAAGGCGAGCGGGCCCAGGAAGGCCCAGCCTCCCTCGCTCCGTCTGTCTCCTCCGGTCGGTCGGCGCTCCCAGGGCCGGTGTTCACGCTCGGAGCAGCGGCGGGAAGGCAGCGGTTCAGTAGTAACCAAGGCACACCTTGTCCATGGACGACTTTATTCTGCAAGTAACAGGAAGGAGGTGGTGAGCCGGGTCAGCTCTGGAGACGCAGAGACAAACGCAGCCCAACACGGAGCAGGCCATCCCGTGTGAAGGCAGCTATTTCTGCTGCCTCCACGGGTCACGCGTGGCCGCAGGCAGAGGCAGGAGCCCAGCGCCCGCCGGCGGGAAGGAGAGCAGGCCGCGGCCTTCTGCTCTGGGCGACGATGACCTTCAGGCTGGCTCACCTGTCGATCGGGTAGGGTTCCTCACAGAGGTTGGCCAGCACGTACAGATGTCTCAGGGCGTACTCGTACTGCAGGAGAACAGACCCACGACACAGTCAGACATCCCTGCACCGTGCCGCCAGCTCTTCACGTGGGCATGTCCCACTTCCCTGGCTACAGAGGCAAAGCACCTTCAGCAGGGATTCGTGACCCGTTTTGGGTCAGGGACCCCTCCCCACCTTTTGATAAGCTGGAAAGATTCATGAACCATCCCCCCAATGCTCCCGTCGTGGGGCGGGCAGCCCCCGAGAGCACAAGCCCAGGTGAGGCCTCCTGGTGCAGAGCCCGCAGGCTCCGCTCCCTCCAGAACCCAGCACCGCCCTGGCCACCGGCTTCGTTTCTTGGAGCCTCGTTCCGGGAGGGACAATGGGTGGGTGAGGAAGACGGAGGGGAAGGGAACACCACACTGGGCTCTAGCAGGTGAGGACCCGAAAAGCCGGGGGTGCCTATTGTGAGGAAACTCCAGGGAAACGGAGAACTCTCACGAGGAAGAGGAAGAGCTTCACCGTGTGATTCCAGAGGAAACAGTACTGCATAGAATCAGGTATTCACTCGATAAGTGGGAAGGTTTAAATTATTACGTGAATAAGGAAATACTGTGTTAAATAAATGAAAGCAAACAAACAAAAAAGCTCCCTAATACCGGAGAGCTACCTCCCGCGTGGCCAGGACCCCGCCCCTTGGAAGCCCACGTGACCACGGTGTGTGCGTCACAGCCCGACGGAGCCTTTGGCCACGACAGAAATGTGTGGCAGGGTCCTCCGTGCGGAGCCACCGCCCACGTGTGGCTACTGGACAGGTGGGATGTGGCTGGTGCAGCTGAGGAACTGGGCTTCACGTTTCACTTCATCCTAATTTAAACCCACGTTTGAGTAGCCACGCGAGGGTGGTGACTACCACACTGCAGGACACGGCTCCCGCAGGCCGGCTCCCCAGGAAGAGAAGCAGGGGTTGTAGTCTGGGGGTGGTCGGAACCAATCGGCTCTCCTGCAGTGCAATGTGAACACCAGAGGGGACTGTGCCCCATAAAACTTTGTTTATAAAAACGGAGGTGGAGGGGACCCCAGTGTGGGCAGGCCTGGAGCTGCGGGCCGGTTTGCTGAGCCTTCCCCGGGAGGCTGATCGGAGAGGAGGCTGGTTAGGACCTTCCTCCTCCCCCATGGCCAGGGCCTGGCTTCAACACTATTTCTTGGGGAGCAGCCAGAGCAGATCCCAAAGGGAGAAAAACCAGTGTGGCTGGTGTGGAGGACAGGGGTGAGGGTGGGGGTGGCAGGGCCAGAGGCATGAAGAGAATGGAGTTGAGATATCTACGCCTGGGGAACTCCCACCCACAGGGAGGACGACGGGCCCCGGGGCGGCACTCATGGTCAGCGAGTCTGACCACCTTCCTCTCCCGCTGCTGCAGGCCTGGGAGAGCCTGCGACAAGGCTCCAGGGACAGCAGTGCCGTAGCTTTGGGGTCAGGATGCAGGGCAAGGCCCGCCTGCCCATGGAAGTCTAGGTGCAGCCACGGCGGCCCTGCCCGGCCCAGCTTACCGTGGGGGTGTGCCAGCGGAGGCAGTGCTTACCGTGGGGTGTGCCAGTGCTTACCATGGGGGTGTGCCAGCTGAGGCAGTGCTTACCGTGGGGTGTGCCAGTGCTTACCATGGGGGTGTGCCAGCTGAGGCAGTGCTTACCGTGGGGTGTGCCAGTGCTTACCATGGGGGTGTGCCAGCTGAGGCAGTGCTTACCGTGGGGTGTGCCAGTGCTTACCATGGGGGTGTGCCAGCTGAGGCAGTGCTTACCGTGGGGTGTGCCAGCGGAGGCAGTGCTTACCGTGGGTGTGTGCCAGTTGAAGCAGTGCGTGCGGAAGTGGGACACGGCGGCCTGGTAGCAGCCGTGCGCGGTGAGCGGGGCCCTCTCGGACAGGAGCCTCTCGGTCTCGTCATCGGACCGCGTGAGCAGGGACACGATCTTCCGCACCGACTTCTCCATGATGTGCCTGCTCTGTGGAGACACGCGTCCTTTGAAATGTACTGTACTTCACCTCACAGGCCTCTCGGACCCGGGCTGGGTCAGGACCTTCCCTTCCCACAGCCCCCACCACCTATGGTAAATCGGATGCCAACAGGCGCATCCTGCAGGCGGCGGAAGATGTGGCGCCTGTGACAGCCGGAGACCTTGGGAAATCCTGTGCCTTTTAGGGGGGTCTCCCGGCATCTAAGTACCTCAGGAGCAGGCATGGGGGCCACTCCGAAAAAAGGAGGGAAAGGCCCAACTCCTTAACAGACTGATGTCCAAAGG